AATCCACTCACCTCGGCCTCCCAAAGTGCTGGGATTACAGGTTGAGCCACCGAGCCCGACCATATTTTCCATTTGGATTTGTTTTGCTGTGTTTTTGTTTTAAATTAAAGCCATCCTAGTGTGTGTGAAGTCACAGCTCATTGTTATTTTGATTCATTTTCTCCAGGATCTGTTATATTGAACATCTTTTCATGTACTTATTGAACATTTATATATCTTCTATGGAGAAATGTCTATTAAATTCCTTGTTGTTTTAAAACAATGAGTTGTTTGTCTTTTTGTTGCTGAGTTGTGAGAGTCCTTTACATATATACGTTGGATATTAAACCCTATTAGAAATGTCATTTGCAATTATTTTTTCCCATTCTGTAGATTTCTTTTTAACATTCTTGACACTGTCCATTGATGCACAAAATTTTTTAGTTTTTATGAAGTTCAATTTATCTATTTTTTATTTTGTTGCTTGTGTTTTTAATGTCAATCTAAGAATCCATTGGCAAGAGATTCCAAATACTCAAAATGATATTTCAAAGAAAAACAAAGCTGGAGTACTCACACTTCCCCAAATTCAAAATTCACCACAAACCTGCGGTAATGAAAACAACATGGCACTGGCATGAAGATAGTAACATAGACCAATGGAATGGAACTGAGATTTCTTGAACGTCTATAGCCAATTGATTTCCAACAAGGATACTAACACCATTCTATGAGGTGACAAATATTCTCTTCAGTAATTGGTTTTGGGACAGTTGGATACCCAAAATGTGAAAGAATGAAGCAACACCCTTACCTCTCATTCCATTGATAAAAATTAACTCAAAATGGATCAATGACCTAAGTATAAGAGCTAAAACTGTAAAACAACTAGAAGAAAACATAAGGGAAAATACTTACCATGGATAATTTAAATCCACAGATAATTCTCTGTCACAGTTGAAAGTGACCTCTTCTCCATCACAGGTTTTTCTTAATGAACATGGAGATGGTAGCATTGCTGACTGTCTTGAGTTTCTTCTCTTTTCATTGCCTGTCCATTAGGACATTCACTTCATGAGAAATGACTACTGGAAAGAAGACAAAGAGTCAAGTGCCTAGGCTAATTCTAATAAAAGAACAATTGGCCATGAGCAAGAGAAATAGAACCCAAATCCACCATATAAACCAAATGCACCCTCTAGCTTTATACATTCTTGTATTAGATCAGTTAACGCTTGCTCTCGCATCCCCTCCCTCACTCAACAATTTCATTAAAAGCAGATAATGTAATGGTTAAGAGCACAGACCCTAGAGCCAAGGGGCATGAAGTCTAACCTCTCAGCTTCACCACTTCGCTGCATGACATTTTGTCATCTACTTAAACTGTCTCCATGCTCCTTCATCTTTAAATAGGAATAGCATTGGTGTCTACCCATAGGATGGTTGCCTAGCACATTGTAGGCATTTTTTTTTTGAGTTGGAGTCTCACTCTTTGTCACCCAGGTTGGAGTGCAGTGGCATGCTGCTCACAGCCACCACAGCCTTGACTTGCTGGACTCAGGCGATCTTTCTGCCTCAGCCTTCCAAGTAACTGGAACTACAGGCGCATGCCACCACACCTGGCTAGTTTTTTTCATGATTTATGGTAAAGAGAGGTCTCATCAAGTTGCCCAAGGCTGATCTCAAACCCTCCGGCTCAAGAAATCCTCTCACCTCAACCTCCCAAAGTGCTGGGATTACAGGCTGAGCCACCACTCCCAGTCATTGTAGGCATTTTAAAAGTGTGTGCTATTATTTCTAGGACTGACAGACAATGGATCAGCCAAGAGAGGTATTTTTCTGCTTCCTAAAGTACTAGTCCATGATTTTACAGAGAGTTGCTAGAAAAAACAGCTCACGTGGTAGCCAAGAGCCTGTGCCCAGATCTACAACTACAGGGAGTGTAATTGACCAGGGGCCCCAGCTGCTGGGTCCAGAAATTCACAACTACATTTGCACAGAGGCTTCATTTCCCAACAGCTGCTCCCCACCAGTAACTAAGAGTTGCATGAATAGTAAGGGAAGCCATTCCTGGGAGACATGGGATTCCTCTTATGGTCAACTTTGACTCAACGACTCTTCAACTGCCTTGTCAAAGCTTCCTTTTCTGAAGGACAAGCTAGACTTGGTCTTCACTCCAGGTCAGAATTGCATCCCGGTCTGATGGCTCCCCAACCTTTCCCGCCTCCCTGTTATTTTCTCTTGTCCTTTTAATCCCATCTTAGTGTCTGATTCTTAGGGGACTTGAACTAGTACAGTCTGGCATTCAAACCTCTCTTAGAGATGACATTCTATTTTCCATCTTATCTCCCACCTCTTACCTAGCTATATCTTCCTCTCACAGTTCCCAAATATACCGATCGCCTTCCTATCTCTGAGCTTTTGCCCGTGCCCCTACTCTGAGAAAGCACTTACTACCTGGCCACTTTTGCTTACTGAATTCCACTTGTCATTGATCATGCATCTCAAATGTCACCTTCTCTAAGCCTCTCAAAGTCCTGGCAGATGGATATACACTTTTTCTTTTCTAAACCTCCAGGACTCTTTTTTATTTTTTAAAACTCTTTCTGTAAGCTTTACTAATAGCAATAAGCAAGTCTCTTACTTTGAACCTCCAAAGTGCCCATCTTGTATAGACTAGACACTCAATATTTGTAGAATGTAATTGAAAAATTAGGGAGAATTCTATTTTAGTGAATTTAATTTTTAGCATTCAGAATTTCCAACAGCTCTTGTTCATTCTGCTTGATATAGTAACAATGAACTCCTGTGAATTAAAAAAAATCCTTTGTATCAAAGTGCTTGGTGTAGAATATAGTATGTAGTAACTTAATATCTGCTTAAAATGCTTCATCAAATTTGACTGTTCTTTTTCCCAAAGGAATGATGATTTAAAATTCTAAAATAGTAATTTTGGTTTGTCTCAGTATATGAATGTGAACTAGGGAAACAGGAAAAGAATACTTCCTTCTTCAACAAAGGCCCCCTGGCCTAAAGGCTGGTAAGGCTAAAATCCTTATCCTTGGGCTCAAGTCCAGAAATAGAGAAGGGAGACCCTTACATTTTAATGAACTTTCAAGAGTGAAGTGTGTCTCCAGTAATATGGAAGGGTATTGATGAGCTCAATGTATAGAGAATCTTATTTTTTCATATATGCCCAACTACCGCTATTGTGGTTGACATTTACCAAGTTCACATTATGCACAAGGCACGTGACATTTCATCCTTGTAACAGTCTTATCCTCATATCACAGACAGGAAATTGAGACTCTGAGACTCTGTGACTTGCCCTGAGGTCATGCTGGGTCATTGATAAATCCTTGAGAAGTTTATCATAGGTATCCAAAAGATCTGTTAATATATAAAATCAATTTCTTCCCCTCAACCACATCCTAATGCTTTTTGGGCAATTTCCTTGGCCGGTTAGCCCAAGAAAATTGTCATCTGACTGGTGGAAGGCAAGGCTGGGCATCTGGCCAAGGTACAGGAGCAATGCCAACACGACAGTCTCAGGACAAGGGTTGTAACTCTTTACCTTGGGTCTCTGACCACTTCCGATTAAGAATGCAACACTCAGGTAAACTCTGAGGGGACTTGAAGGGAAAGCAGGAAGAGAAAGCTCATGCAAGGATCAGATAGCACCTGCTTGGACGCTCACCGATTAATGATTAAACAAGGGCAGTCACACGGAACAACTGCCGCTCCTCTCTGCCCTTATTTTTCTCACTAACAGCTCTGAAAATTGAATGAGATGGACGGGTCCAGCAAAGAGGATGAGGAGGAGAGCACCTTCACCAACATTTCTCTCGCAGATGACATAGGTAAGGAGGAACAGATGAATTCTCAAGCACGCAATCCAGCAATCGCTGCTTTTTTTAAAAAAAGGTTTTTATTATTTTATCATAAACATGCTCACTGTAGATAATTTGCAAAAATGTAGCTCCAAAAACAGTTTTGAATTAAGAGCTGTTTTTCTTTTTCCTTTCAAACTTAGTGATACTTTTAAAAGTTCCTGCGGTTATTTGACATGTGCTTTTTAAAATAAATCAACAAATAAAGAATATAAAATGCTTATTTCCTAAAAGTTCAGGAAACAGGACCTCAAAGTTATTGCTAAAACAACCTATGATATTACCACCATATTTCACTTATAGTCTATTACTTCCCTGTTTGTAGAATAAGTTTATCATTTCTGATAAGTGAGCTAAAATATGCTACAATTAGCTTTAAGGGTTTCTTCAGAAAATGTCTGGTTGTTAAGGGCAAAGTTTGTTGAATTCAACATGAGAGAAGGAAAAAAGGAGGAGATTGTTCTAAAATGCTGACAGGAGGGAGGTCTATGGCTCATTCAACATCTTGGAATAAATAGACAGTGCTGAATTGCACAATGTTAGCAGGAAACACTTCAGACCTATAAGCACTGAAGTCTGGGGTATTTGTGTGTGTGTGTGTGTGTGTGTATTTTAGTTGCTTTCTATCCAAGTTTCTTTAACTCAATCCTACTAAGAAGCCAGCAAGACTGCAGCTAAGCCATGGGGGTTACTGATTTTGATGAGCAGAGAGCAAGAACATGAATATTTAACATCCATTGCTCTTTAATAAAGCCACGCTTCTCTACTTTCTCCCTAAATGCCTAGATTCAGAAAGCGTCTTTTCTAAAGTGCAGCCAGACAATTAACACAAACCGCCAGCCAGAGCTAAGCTTCCCTCCTGGCAGTGCACAAACATGCTGGGGTCTCTGGAAATCAAAGCGGAGTATTTTCAACCTCTAGAAGGGGGAGGAAAGGTACAAGGTACTGGGCTGTTGAAGAAATGGGATACCGCTGTCCTTAACATGCTCCCACCAGGGTGTTTTAGAAAATGACAGGGCTGCAGAAGGCAGTGGAGGAAACAAAGACAGAGGGAAACACAAGTTTCTTAGCTTCTAGAAGGCAGGTGGGCGATGAGCATGTGCGTGGGAGCCCTCGATGCTGTGGGCGGCTGCAGCTCTTACGGAGGGCTTGCTTGCTTGGAGTGTGACTCAGCCTAGGATTTTTTCTGCATTATAATATGGGATGAGCCCCAAAGTGGGGGTCTTTGGCAGTGCCCAACCTGCTCAAGAACTCTTTCGCCTACCCCGTCGCACCCTCTCAACCCACCTCCTGTGTCCCATTTTCTGCCACACCCTCACATTTCCACTGGGGGAAGAAAAGCAGGAAGGCAGGGAATTGACATTCAGGTGTCCAGTCCACTGTGGGCCATGGCTTTGAGACAGGCTCCATAGGGCTTGCTTGCTAACCGAGTGTGAGCAGGCCGGTGTAAACGCTGAACACACTGCAGAAGGTGAGCAGTCCTCCCTGGTGATGGCAGCCAAGTGACAGGTCCAGCGTCTCCAGTCTCCCAATCACATACTCCTTCTCCTCAGCTAGATGGAGACACACAACCTTAGTGCAAGAGGGCTTTCAGGGACAGTCCAGCATGAGACCTAGGAGCAGACTCAGGAACTGGAACTAACTTGTGCTGTTTCCATATTTCAAAATGATAAATTGAACTTGTTCCTAGACTTGTGACCCAAATATACCAGTTAACACGACGTTTCTTTGGCTTTTGGAGACTGTCTTATCCACTTGATGTGTAGCACTGGTTGGTTCTTGTTAATAAGAGGGGTCTTGGGCTTTGATAACTAACAATAGGGAAGAAAGTAAATTATCATGAAATACATGGTATTTCAGCTTGTGTAGTGGACATCATTCATTCAAACTGTGGGGTGCACACAAGAGTAAAGCATTACAAAGGTATTGCTTATATTATGATAAGAAAGTATAGTACAAATTCTTACTTTATTTTTGTGACATACAAACATGCACACCTATGTACCAGACCCACGTACCAGAGAGCTTAAGTGCCCAAGATCACAGAGTCAATTAGAGGTCAAGCCAGACAAGACAGAAAGGAAGCATTTATTGAACTCCTACACTGAATACATTAGGTTTAATATTGAACTTACAATAGGTTTAATATTAAATGCAATAGGTTCAATACATGTATTGGATTCCAGGTACAGTGCTAGGTCCTTTTTATATCTTATTTAATCTTTACAATGTCATTGTGATACTATTGTCCTATTTTACAGATGATAAAACTGAGGCTCAAATTTTTTAGTAACCTGCTCAAGGTCAAGCCCCAGGAAGTGGTAAGAGCGAAAATTCAAACCTGAGTCTTCCACGATTGTAGATGTTAGCTGATCACCCATCTCATCTGACTATCTCCATATTACTATTGAGTAATGATGGCTGTGTTTGTTCATGCTTGGCTCTTGGGTAGTTTTTTGGAGCTGGGTACCAGAAGAAGCCTTGCCCTCTCCTTTTTATTTTTCAGGGGGTATACATGTGGACATATTGTGTAGAGGTGGGGACTGGATCTCAGATGGCCCATTCCCCAGACAGGGAATATTGTATCCCATAGGTAGTTTCTGAACCCTAACACCTCTTCCCACCTCCCCACATTTTGGTGTTTCCAGTGTCTATTATTTTCATCTTTGTGACCATTTAGCCTCCACATATGAATGAGAACACGCGGCATTTAATTTTCTGTTTCTGAGTCGGTTTATTTAGGATGGCGATCCCCAGCTCCATTCATGTTGCTACAAAGGATATGATTTCATTCTTTTTTATGGCTTCATAGTATTCCATCGTGTATATATGCCACATTTTCTTGATCCAGTCATTTGTTGGTGGGCAGTTAGGTTGGTTTCATGACTTTGCCATTGTGAATAGTGAAGCAATGAACATACAAGTGCAGGTATCTTTTTAATAAAATAATTTATTTTCCTTTGGGTATAACCCTAGTGGTAGGATTACTGGGTCAAATGGTAATTTTTAGTTCTTTGAGAAATCTCCAAACTCTTTTTCACAGAAGTTGAACTAGTTTACAATCCCACCAGTAGAGGATAGCATTTTCTTTTCTCTGTAATAGTGCCAACGTCTGTTGGTCTTTGACTTTCTAATAGCAGTCAGTCTGACTGGTGTGAGATTATATCTCATTGTGGTTTTAATTTACATTTCTTGGATGATTAGTGATTGGAGCATTTTTTCCTATGTTTGTTGGCAGCTTGTGTGTCTTCTTTTGAGATGTGACTACTCATGTCCTTTGACCACTTTTTGATGGAGTTTTTGTTTTATTCATGTTGAGTTATTTGAGTTCTTTGTAGGTTCTGAATATTAGTCCTTTGTCTGAGAAGAAATTTTTGGATATTTTCTCCCATTCAGCAGATTTTCTTTTCATTCTGCTGATTATTTCTTTTGCTGTACAGAAGGTTTTTAATTTAATTAAGTCTCAGTTGTCTATTTTAGTTTTCATTGCAATTGCTTTTGTGGTCTTTGTCACAAATTCTTTGCTTAGGTCAATGTCCAGGAGAGTGTTTCCTAGGCTTTCCTCTAGAATTTGTGTAGTTTCCAGTCTTACATTTGTCTTTAATCTATCTTGAGTTAATTTTTGTATATGATGAGAGAGGGGGGTCCAGTTTCATTCTTCTGCATATGACTGGCCAATTTTCCCAGCACCATTTATTGAATAGGGTGCCCTTTCCCCATTGTTTATTTTTGTCAACTTTGTCAAAGATCAACTGGTTGTAGAAGGTGGCTTTATTTATGCATTCACTATTCTGTTCCATTGATCAATCTGTCTATTCTTGTATCTGTACCATACTGCTTTAGTTACTATAGCTTATAGTATAATTTGAAGTCAGGGAGTGTGATGATGCCTCTGCAATTGTTCTTTTTTGCTTTGAATTGCTTTGGTTATTTGGGCTCTTTTTTGATTCCATATAAACTTTAAGATTTTTTTTTTTCTAGTTCTGTGAAGAATGAGGTTGATATTTTGATCAGGATTGCATTGACTCTGTAGATTGTTTGGGGCAGTATGGTCATTTTAGCAATATTGATTCTTTCAATCCATGAACGTGGGATGTTTTCTCATTTGCTTGTGTCATCTACAATTTATTTCAACAGTGTTTTGTCATTCTCCTTGTAGAGATCTTTTGCTTCCTTAGTTAGGTGTATTACTAGTTTGTGTGTGTGTGTGTGTGTGTGTGTGTGTGTGTGTGTGTGTGTGTGTGTCTAGTGTGAATGGGATTGAGCTCCTGATTTGGTTCTTGGCTTGTGTGTTGTTGGTGCATAAGAACAATTTAAAACACTAAACAAGGATTATAGGCCCTAACGGGTCTCCACTGGTGATTCTCCAGAAAGACATCACTGCTGGATGTTAGTGATGACGGGATGTGAAGCTGCTGCGTATGGAGGCCATCATGCAAGGACAGTCAGGCCTCAAGTCCCCAGCGCTGATTCCTGGTGTGGCTGCTTCAGATGTATCACTGCCTCCTGTACACCCCTCATTTCCTCCCCTCTCCTTCTTCCTTCTTCCCCATTAGCCGTTTCTGTTCCTATTCAGAGGATGGCAAGAGAAAGGAAAGGAAGTTTTTGCTAACTCTAGAAGAGGTTTGTTTGGGGAGAGGACCGAAGGCATTACGCTTTGGTTTACTCTGGATTTCATTTATGTAAGTACGCCTACTTCCTGTTAGCATGGAGCAGTGAGAATTGGCAGTGTCAGCAGTTACTCAAATCACGAACCAGTCGCGTTCCATAAACTCATCTGTAGGTTAGTTGTGTGGGTTTCAGAACAAGTATCCTCACAGAAACAAGCTTACACATGATAAGATTCCAGACCAACACATATTGTCTAACTCTGCGATTCCCAAAGCATGCGCCAAGGTGTCCCAGGGCCTCCATGGGCATTTCGATTTCTACCAGACACTGAGAGAACCACTGGCCGGTGTTCATTCATT